ATTTGATTTTATTATAACCATAGTTTATTATTATTGTAGTAGTAGTAGTGGCAGTGATGTTAAAGTAATGATAAGCAAGCATATAAATAACTATTTAAAAATATTTCGAGAATCAATCAATATTATTTGAGAGAGGTGATAAAAATAATTTATTTTCTAGAATAGAATAAAACCTGAAATAATAACTTAAAGGAAGAGAAATATTACGAGAGAAATATCATAGACAAGAAGGAAAAAGATTTCCCATTAAATCCATCTTATATGTGTCATATATACAACAAAATATTTATACATAATTTATAATTTTCTATACGAATTTGACGTATCTATATAATAATTAATATTAATTCAATAATTTACATTTTGATCAAGAAACAAACCACATAAAACATATAGAAACATATAAAATCTAATAAAAAAAAAATAAAGAAAAAAGTTTTTGATTAAAAAAAAAGGCAAATAAAAGAAAAATTATTAATTATTAAACTCATTGTTCTTTCACAATTTCATAATTTCGCTTTCTTTATTATTATCTCATATTCATTCATTCATAAACGTACACCCCCTTCTTTTCCCTTCATAATTCTCTTAAGAACCTTCTTTAACAGGCTTTCCGGTATTAACACTCCCAGTGACTGGAAACAATTCAGCTAAAGCTTCATTGAATGTATCAATGAAAGCAGGATAACTCGAAGGATCAGCAAGAATATTTTTGAAACCGATTGTTTGTCTTATATTTGGAAAATGATTAACAAAAAATTTCATTGCTTGTTCTTTCAACTCCGGATATTGCCAAGCTGTGCCAAATAAAAATTCTGCTGCGTCATTAACATTTAAATCTTTAAAAATCTCTGCTTTGGCAAGTTCACGTAAATCATCAATCAAATACTTGTCAGAAATTCTATAAAGTTCTAAAGCTGATCCATGAGAATTTTTTTCATCTTTTTTATCAACAAATGTAACATTGTTGGTGTAAAGAAATCTTAGCATTTCTAAAAATGTTAAATAATGAAAATCTGTCACCTCAATCACTCTACTACTGTTGCTGCTATTATTATTATTACTGTTACTATTACTGTTATTAGATATTGGACGTTGCGGATTTTGTTGACGATGACCCTTTTTCTCTTTATTTTGTTGAGAATTATTATTATTACTATTCATTGGATTATTACTATTATTACTATTAATACTATTATTATTACTACTATTACTACTATTACTACTACTATTACTATTACTATTATTGTTGTTGTTGGGATTACGGGGTTCTGATTCTAACCATTTACCTTGAAGTATTAATTGAAAATATTTTGATCTTGATGAAAGTATAAAAGAATTCGCATAAATTATTTGACCTTGTATATCAAATTGTACATCAGAAGTTATTGGATTATTTAATAAGCTTTCCCAAGCTTTTAACAAATCATGTGGAATAATTTCACTTTGATTTGGACTATTTGGTAAAGGCCATTTTTGTGATACAAGCCCCATTTCCACTCGTTCAAACTCTACACCAAACAATACATGATCTGGTAAATTAGCCTTAATATAAAAAGCCTCCCAACCTTTTTTTTTTTTTTATTGAGAATTAAATAATATAATATTAGGTATAAATAATTAAGATTAATAACAATAGTAGTAATGATGATAATGATAATTTACCCCATCCAGATAATTTTGTAGAAAAAGAATTCATTTTTACTGCTTGTTTTTTAAGAAATGTTTGATTTCTTGCATTTTTTAAATAAATTTTAGCGTTCAACGTATTACGTCTTGACCATGTACCCGGATTATTTGCCTCTTCATGATTTGGTATTGCAAAAAGAAAGGCAGCGCAATGGTTTGGTTCCTCGGAAGAATTCTAGAACATTGATTAATTGATAAATAAATGTAAAGAGGTAAGTGGAAGAAAAATCCAAATCTCGGAGAATGCTGAATTCAACACAATCTTAATATAATATAATTTGGACAATAATGATAAAACAAACCTACAGGTATAAATTCAAGTTGCCAAAACATATCGTGAGAAGTGCCAAAAGGTGGACTATAAACTGTGTTGGTGATCTTGGTAACATTTGAAAGAAGGAACTCAAAACAACTCTTAGTTTTACAAGCTGTTGCGGTCATGACGCGTATGTGGCGACGATGATGATGATAAGGATAAGTATAAGGGTGACACGGTAAAGAAAAATCAAATCAGATGATATTTATATATGGGAAAATAATAACGAACGAGAATTGTTGATTGTTGGCTTTTTTAGAGAGAAGGGAAAAGAGAAAAAAAATCTAAAAATTTTTTTAAAAAAAATAAAAAAAATAAAAATAAAAATCGATGTAAACAAATCTTTTTATTGTGTGTTAGTGATAGTTGTTACACGAATAACATATATACCTTGAAAAACACTTTTTTAAAAAAATTTATATTACTATTACTATTATTATAAAAACATAAGAAAATTTTATCTAATATAAAAATAAAGATATTAATTAATGACTTACCCAATTAATTACTCGGAGAATTTGTTCTAAATGATAAATTGTTTTCTCTAAAAAACAAAAAAAAAGTCTCGGAACCTTGTTTTTTTTAATTATTTTTGTTGAGACGGTGGGAAATTTTTTAAGAGATACCGATACGGATTTTGAATACCGCTGAACCATTTATATATGTATAAATATGATTGATTGTGTAACTCGTCAAAATGATTGATTGATAGGGAGAAATTATTTATAATTATTATTTTATTATTATGCAATCGAAAAACTATATTTTCAGTTGTTCCCATGACCAAATCGTCCTTTCAATTATTTTAATTATTATATATTTATAAATGAATGAATGAAATTATTCATTGAAAATTATTCATTATCAATTGACTGACCGACTGGCTCTATGACGACGAGGGGCCATGAAATTTCAAAATGTAGGTCCCCTGTAATTTTACTTCGTATAAACGGTATTTTTATACATTGCTGCCAAATCGGGAATGTTATATATTCTATAAATAAATCTCGTGCAACAATAATGTTATAAATACTCGGTTAATGGATCCTTTCATGTAAAAGAAAAAGAATTAATTATTAAAAATCATAAAATAGAGAATTTTGATTTTGATTGATTTTTACCAAGAAAATAGCAAAATATTTTAAATTAATCAATGATTATATTGATGAGTAATCTTAAAATGAAAAAAAACCAAACAATAAAATTAAATATTAGAAAAAAAATTATAATCATTTATTTATTCTCCAATACTAATGCTAATCGTTAATCGTTAATATTAATCCGTTAATCGGTTTAATCGTCAATCCGTTAATCGACATTCACACATAAAAATATGTTTTGGCAAGTAGCAACCTTTGGTTAATATTCTTATTATTAATCATCAATTAATTAATATTAAAAGTTCAATAAATTATTCGTTCGTTAACTCGTTATCGTTATCATATAAAAAACAAGAAAAAAACATTCTGAATTATTGATTCGATTAAATCAAATTACATCCATCCATCATCATCATCACCCAAGAAATTTCAATACGACGACGAAAAATGATTTCTTAAGTAGTAATAAATAATGATGATAATTACTCATCATCTATCTATATAAACCCCATTTTTCTTGAAAACGAATCTTTATATCTTTCTTTCATTAGAAAATATAAATTTTCTCCTTTGTTATTCTCTCTCAAAATATATTTTTTTACTTGTAAACAAAAATATACATTGCAAAATTATGCTTCAATCTAAATTGTTAATGTTCACTTTATTATTACCGTTCAATAATTTTATATCATTTTATTATATTTACGCACAAAAACTACCAACATCTCAAGGAACAATTTCTCCTCAATCTCAACCATCACCTGGATCACTTCCATCAATACCAGGAAGCAACGGTTTAGGAGGGATTCAACCAGACTTGGCGAGTCAAGGCAGCAAACTTTCTCCTAAATTTGGCGACCAAAATAATGGTCTTGGACGTCCAAGTTTAGATCCGATGAATAGTGGACTTGCACCAGGTTCAGCAAGTCTTCCTAAATTTGGTCAACAACCTTCAGCATCTCCTCAATCTTCTCAACAGCAACAACCACAAATTGTTCCTGCAACAGGTGGTCAATCAAATTCTAACCCGTCATCATCATCAAATAATCATAAAAATAATGATGGTCCTACTCCTTCTTCTAAACCATCATTGACACCTTCATCTATGACTCAAAATTCTTCAAGTTCTAATAATACTACTGGTGATCATTCATCATCTTCATCAAATAGGCCAAACATGATTTTTAATTATTTGAATTTATTCGGTAATTTATTAATAGTTTTAATTAGTATTAAAGTTTTTTATTAAATTCATTAAATCATTAATCATTAAATTAGTATTAGTGTAAATCATTATTGTAATTAATTAATTAATTAATAATAAATAAATACGATAAATTAAAATTAAATAAGCAATTAATTTTAATGCCTATTTTTCATGTTAATTAAAATGGTTTGTCTTCTATAAAGTTTGTAATCATATGATAACTTGCCTCCTATTACATATTGTTATAATTAAAAGAGAAAAATTAGTCCAAATGATAAAATCAAATAATAACAATAATAGCAATAATAATAACTTCTTACAGGTTGATCCATTGGAACTAAATGACCAGCATTTAATACGATAACTCTAGTTATATTTTCATATTGGACAGCATATCCTTTCAAATCGTCTTTTACTTTCCAAATCTAAGAAAATCAAATAATAAAACCTTAAATACTTGTAAATATCACACAGCAAGCACAACATTTTTAATAATGTGATCATTGATGATTTACCTTTCTTGGAAGCTTCCTAAATTTTTCAGCTCCACGAAATTCAAGTTTGTAAATCCATTCAGTATTACCACTTACACCATCTCTAAAATCACAATTACCTTGAAACAATAAAAATATGATTTTTGTTATTATTATCATTATTATTATTTAACAAAAAATTTACTAACAATTAGGTAAACCTTTGACAGGCAGAACTCATCAAATTCGTGTACATCTTCAATACCTTGGATATCCAATTGCTAATGATCCCTTATATTGTAATAAAAAGGTTTGGGGCAGTAATTTAGGTAAAGGTGGGATAAATGAGGAAGCTGGTGATGGTCGCAACGAAGATGATAACGATCAACCATCAATTAAGAATATTATAGAGAAACTTTCAAATGAGGTGGGAGACGACGATGAAATTGATTTAAATCTTAAAAAAACAGACAATGAACAATCTAAGGAGAAAATAGATTTGATGATTGGAGATAAAAATGAAGAATCTGATGAATATTACTGTGAAGAATGTAATATAAATAAATTTCCAGATCCTAAGCCTAATCAATTATTAATTTGGTTACATGCTTTGAAGTATGAAGGCGAAGGATGGGAATTTAAAACTGATTTACCTGATTGGGCCGAAGATAATTATATTGTTATTGATGAAAATTAAATTTTATTTTTCTGATAATAGAGAAATAAAAAAATAATACATATTAAAATCCTTTCTTTGTCAACCAATCATTTAATTCATGACGATAATCGCCTTTTATTATTATATGACCAGTGTTATCATTGATTGTAACCAAAGTATTAGGGAAAAGTTTTTGAAGTTCTTTATGTAAAGCCTAGTAGTAATAATAACATTATTGTCATTATTTATTGATTTATTGATTTATTGATTTATTGATTATTTACCTCAGTATCACCTTCAATCCTCCTTAAAACAGTTAAAATACGTGTTCTGCCATTCCTTATATCAGAATAAATCGGTAATACTTTATTTTGTGTACGCTCGATAAAATATGGATATTGAACATCTTCATAAAATATTTTCACTTCTTTATTATTTTTCAGGGAAGGATAATATTTATTTGGCATTTGCTCTTTTTTTTGAATCTCTTTTTATTTATATAATGTAAAATACATATATTTATATATATACACACACATACACACACTGTTAATAAATATAATATAATCATAATAATAATAATACTATTTTATTACCACGGTTATTTTCATTTTCACTTTCCTTTTTGTTATTTTTGCTATCTGTTTTAATGGTTTTAATGGGTATTAAATTATAAAATTTATTGGGAATTTTATAAATGCTGCGAAGCATTTTTTTTTTTTTTTTTGATATTAATAAAAAAATTAGATGCGACCAAAATATTTTTATTTTCGGTGGTACAAATTAGGATAACTATAATAGCCAATCAGACTTTGAGGTTAAAATTATGATAATCACGTGGCAAGATGTTCGAAATAGTTTGAGTTTTCGTGTTTCGAAAACAGTTTTTTTTTTTTAATAAAGGCAATATCCTGCTCATATAATTTTATTAGAATAAAGTAAATATAATAAAAATAATTCACAAAATAAATTCCAAATTAACTTTATATGAGGCTATTCCTCTTGAAAATAATTAAAAAAAAAATATATATATATATACACACATACATATTTAAATTTAACATTTCAGAAAAAACAGATATGCCAAACAAAGTCTATGAAGTTTATTAGTCTCAATTTAACAACTTTAACTGCATCATAGATATTGTTGACTGATCCAGATATTACCTAGGTAATAGGAAGTCAGATCCAGTGTTAATGAAGTTATTTATTAAAACTAGATGAGAATTATTAGAATTAGGATTTGAAAGAGGTCTTGAGGGTGTTTGTGCTATCTGATTAATTGGGTATAATTGATTAGCTGTTTTATTTTTCAAGTTGATATTATTTTGTTTTAACCATGAGTTAAACAAAGCACATTGTGGAAGCCAGACATTTTTATAATAGAAGGTTATTAGATTGTAGGAGATGATGTGAATGATGATTGAAGCTTTTTTGTGAGAAGTAAATATTGGATATATGGAGTTAATTAGAGATGATGGAATTGATCCAGCTGCAAGTATTACAGGTGAAGTATGGTTGAAGTTAGATTGGAATAGAGGTTGTAATAGTTGTTTAGTTTGTGTGATTTTGGAGGATCTATACCAATTTGAGATTTCAGAGATTATTGATTGTTGGATTATTAGCCATGGAATTGTGTCCAAATTAGAATTAGCTTGGCAAGAAAATAGGTGTGTAGTATTTTCAGGTGATTGATTACAATAGAGACAATTAAGATTGGGTGGGAGTAGTGTTGGATAGTTGCATATTAAGTTTTTTATTGTAGGTAATGTGTTATGGAGAATTTCAAGCTTGAATGAGTATAATGAGCCATGGTAAAAGTGTGAATTATTTTCAGTGAACATTGAGTAATGGGAGAATTTTAGACAAAATTCTGTATATGACCAATTGATAGATGTATTTGATGGAATTTGCTTTACCAAGGTAGGTTGTGTTTGCCATTTAATTATTGCTTGTGAGTTTGAATTTAATTTTATGAAAGAACATAGAGGATAATCAATATATTGTTGATTGAATATGATTGGAGAATTGAGTTTGATTGAAGAAGGATTTATGTGGAGTATTTCAGACAAAGCTGATTTAGCTATGTTATCAACTAAATCATTATATTTATTGCCTGAATGTGATTTAATTTTATGAAAGAATATTTTTAATGATAATGATTTTTTTATGTGGTGGATTGAGGATATTATAGAGTAATTTTTGATTTTAAATTTATTGCGAGTAGTGTTAGGTGTGATGTTGTTGTCAAGTAGTTGGATAGATGATTGACTGTCTGTATAAATTGACACCAAACAGTATTGTGGACAAGTTATAAGAGCAGTCATAATTGCCATTAATTCTGCTCTTGTTGAAGAGGGAAAGGATGTCAATGAACAAGAAAAAGAGTGTTTGACATTTTTGTTTTTTAATTGAATCCAGGCACAAGATAATTTAATATCTTGTTGACCAAATTTTGATAAAGATCCATCAGTGTAGAATGTCAATGATTGAGAGGAATGGTTG